CCCCCCCCCCCCCCCCCCCCCAGGGCTTAACTCTTTCCACAATAAAATTCAATGAATTAAACCCCTAAATGTACAACTGACTTGCAAAGTGGAGGTTGGGTGAGTGAGACATCTAGAAGCTTCCGCTAAATTGGCAGCCAGCTCCTAGATGGAGACTGTTCCCATGACTGGCAAATCCTGGTAACTGGCCATAAGCCAATGAGAGTGAGAGACTGATTGAAATAACAGGATGGTATGACTTTCTGTTGTTTTGATTGGGTGCTGTGAAAATACTTAAACTACTTTAATCAAACACATGAAGTTGGTAATACCTGTTTAGTTTCTTCTGCACTTCCTTGCACAGGAACTGATGGATTTCCTTTGATCAGGCCACGGGTTATGGCTTCATACTCCTGTAAATTGGAAGTGAATTTACACCATCTCATTTTTCAATTTGCACTTGGCACATTTTTTTTTATTTCTTAGGTGTCAATATTTTTTTCCATGAACAGACTGATGAGGTAGAGTAGTCATGATATGAAACAAAGTGGTTGGAGGATACAAAGGAACTCTGGGGTATATCCATTGACTTAATTTTAATAATTTTATTATTTTAAATCCCAAAAATGTCCAGGGATTTTGGGGGGAGAAGTGCAATACAATGAAAGATGCTTTGGGGGGAGAGGGAGGGGAAGTAACTAAAGATAAAACTCCTTACACGTTGGAACTCCTTTCCAAAATTTGACACTGACTCAAACTAAAAAACATCAATAACCAGTTTCTGATGCGCAGACCACTGAATAATTGTTTACCTTTGAAACTCTCCTGGCATTCATGTAGTCTCTTGTTTTATCATCAATCAGTTTCTTAGCTAATGCCTTGTTCACACTCTGAAATCAGAACAATTTGGTGTTTGATTAGAGCTTAATTTTTAGTGGAGACAGGAGTGAAACAGGTTTTTTTTAAGTTGCTTTACTTAAGTCCATTTTTAGAATATACAGGGGTCTACATACCTGTTCAAAGGCATTGTATTCTCTCCATAGTGCTTCTAAATTTAAGATGGGAGTTATCACAGCTCTCTAGAACAGAAACACAGTTATTGACTACTTACACATTCAAGCATCCTAATGAATTTAAAAAAAAAAAACAAACCAACAAACAAACTCCTATTTGTGAGGAAATGAACACTATATCAAGTAACATAACCTGCTTCTTAACATTCTACACAAGAAGTATAATTTTTCACGTTGTTATTGTAAGATAGTTATATGCCAGTATGTAGATTCATTGGTATGCAGGCTACGTAATTATGCTAAGTAAGGGTGAATTAATCAACATGACACGAGCGCGGGACAAAGAAAAATTCTGAGTCCCCGACAGGAATCGAACCCATGACCTCCCAAACACTGGGCGGGCGTTCTATCCACTGAGCTACGAGAACTCATGGAGAGCAAGGTCATTTAACTGAGTTCATATATGACAGGTGTCCTGCATACTGCTAGGATCAATGCTATCGAATTCATCATGAGTAGTGATAAGTTAATAAAGATGGTGAATTTTAAGCTCGGTAACGAGTTCTCGTAGCTCAGTGGATAGCGCGCCTGCCCGGTGTTCAGGAGGTCATGGGTTCGATTCCTGTCGGAGACTCAGAATTTTTCTTTGTCCTGCGCTCATGTCATGTTGATTAATTCACCCTCACATTTCATTACCGAGCTTAAAATTCACCATCTTTATTAACTTATGCTAAGTAGTTGAAATTTAAGGAGTTTGTCCGTTATGAGTTCTCACTCGACAGCATCTCCGTTTTTGATCACTTCATTCTGGAAATTTTGTTTTAGTAAAATCTCTGTGTTTTTTTGTTTACTACATTTGATGTACTACGGTAATAAGTACCCTAGGGCCACATTTGTTTGTTACAATAAACTATGCTGTTTATGTCTGATCCATAATCAAGATGCCCCCTCCTGTATGACTGGTGTTTTCTGACTTGCACTAAGTTAGAGTGATTAGACAACAAAAGGTTGAAACTATAGAATGTGAGCACTATCCTCAGCCATTTCAACTCACCCTTGTTTTCTATAAGCAATATAGGTCAACTTAACTATGCCCTGTAAACTATTCCATCAGGCTTTAATAGTGCAACAATTTTGTTGATTGGATTAAAGTCAATCAAACCATCCAAGTTGAAGTCTTGTCAGTACCCAGTTTGTATGGTGCCCTCAGGCACGAAATATGTCATACACTTTAGCTTCGTACTTAAGGAAGATGAAGGAGACAATGAAAAACATAGATACTTCGAGTTCTCTGCCTCTAACCCCCCCACCTGCCGCCCCCCCCCCCCCTCTACTACCCGCCTCAATACAAATTCTTGTACCAGTAACACTAATCCTCCGTTAGAGCCATTACCTGGTAGACTTTTCTTATAGAGATAATCTTGCGGTTTTCAGCATAGCTTCCAACTGCTTCACTAAAAGTAAAAGAACAATCTTAATAACACATCAGTAATGGTATTACACTAGGCCAGCTTGTTGGTCAGTGGCAGCGAAATCTCCCAAAGGCTGCAATTTTATGAATAATTCATATATATAATTTAATTTATATATAATTATGCCATACATGTAACAATTGAGTTCAGTAGACAGCTGTCAGTAAGATATTTTGCTCAATACTCCCAAGATAATAAACTCTTACCCTGACTTCAGAAAATTCACAAAGTCCATCCAAATCTGTAAAGAGCAAAAACAACAGAGGATGAATTAATACAACAGTAGAACTTTAACTGCATTTTAAGAGAAAAATGTTGAAGTGAAACCTCTGTTTTTGTAATCTATCAAAAATACAGAATTAGCATGAGCTTTTAATTTTGTTATCACAGAAATTTGAGAAATCACATTCTAATAATTGTAAATGAGTGATTCTCATTCCTTGTCTGCTCAGTATTGCTTAACAGAAATAGAAAACACTTGAAATCTCTTTCTCTGTGTTTCACATACATATTTTTTAGTAGATACTTTGTGTGTTCAACTCACAGATCTTGGCATTGACTGCAAATCTGATTGGTTTTCCTATTAGTAAATTGTCGTAGTCTATTTGCGCAAGATTTCTGAGGTGCTCAAGTTGGCAGGGCAGAAGGCCAAATCAATGATCACCTCATAGAAATCTTGAGCGAATAATTGTTTTTAGTAGCTAGAATTCTAACTGAAATTCCTTTAAATAATTAGTTCCAATTATTTATCTTAAGGGCCCATTAACCGATTTATACGCGCGTTGCTAAGGAGGTGAATTTTCACTTCCGGTTACTTACGTCAGCCTCAGCACGGAAAGTAAAAACAACTCAATAACTTGCAAATTCACTTACATTTTAGATGTTTTTCTTTGTTTTTCACAAAATGCAAAGTAAAAAGAGTACAAGCAAAGACGAAATAAGAGAAAGACAGAAAAACAAGAGCAATAGAAAGAGAAAGACTAACTCCATGTGGCTTTGTTTGATCTTACCGAAGTGCACTGGTAGTGTAAATTGCGCACGCGCTGATAGGGTAACTTCAAATATATATCGGGCGCACTTCTGGTTTCTTTAAATACTAAAGGAAACGCGGTTTTTCATTAACTCCAGCCTTTTTTGACGGATTTCGATTAAAACCAACGTTGGAAACATAGCTATGCATTCCTTTTTCGAAAT